ATTGTATGTTTGGTTTCCTGCAGTCCATGGGGTCTCCAGGATTCCGGTGATCCCCTTATGCAGATATCAACTGACAGGTGATTGCAAAGCTGAGAGGCTCCAGCAACAAAGAATGGAGATATTGGCGCTGACTTTCCAAAGACAGTGTCAAAATATATAACTCTTCAGAGAGGTACAAAGATCATTCCATGAAATCTTCCCAAAAGGAGAATGTGGGATATTTTATTTGGATTATGAATAAACATACATTCATATAATGCTTGCCCTACACCCAAATTAGATATGGTACCGCGCAGTGGAATGTAATGGAAAAAGTGTGAGCTTTGGGAAGCAGAGTGCTCTGAATCGTGAGACTTCATGAGAAGAATCTTACCTCTCAGGTATGTCCTCTTTTCCTGGGTCCACTTGCAAAATGGGAGTGCTACTTCTTTCCAGGGCCTGTCTGTGGGAGGAGTAAATGAGATACAGTACATCAACCACCCCATTCTTGTCTTAGCATCATGAATCCACCATAAATGTCATCCGTACTTAGGGTGTGGAGGAAAAGATGTTCAAATCCATTAATACATAACTATTTTCTGTAATGCATAAGTAAGCCCTTTTTTTTGAAGGAAACAAACAAACAAATAAAAAACAAATATACAAACCTACAAATATGAACCTAAAGAAAAATCTCGAATAAAAAACAGAACAACATACAGATGAATTAAGAGACCAGAAATGAGGACCATATGGATGAGAATTTGCTTAAAATATACATGGGCTCAGGAAAAAATGAGAGAAAATTGCTGGGGGGGGGGAAGTGCTCTGGAATTGTGCCAAATTCGAAAACATTTGAATAAATAATTTAAGCTTAGAAAAAGTATAGAAAGATTTTTCTCCTTCTCCTGGATAAATGAGAGAAGAGAAATGGAGCATGTAATGTGTGCAGGAAACATGGAGACCTTTTGGCAAAACCCAATCTAAAGACACTTCCATGAGCAGTTGGCTGGCTTAGCTTTCAAGTTTCAGGTAAGACCCATGCCGATGTCATTTCTGTCTAGAACACACACTTCCTGCCTGCTGCTGCCTAGAACACATGCTTCCTGCTGCTGCTGTATAGAACACACGCTTCCTGCCTGCTGCTGCCTAGAACACACGCTTCCTGC